GGAGATGAGGGTGAGGAGATGAGGGTGAGGAAATCAGGGTGAGGAGATCAGGCTGAGGAGATCCGGATGAGGAGATGAGGGTGAGGAGATCAGGCTGAGGAGATCCGGATGAGGAGATGAGGGTGAGGAGATCCGGATGAGGAGATGAGGATGAGGAGATGAGGGTGAGGAGATCCGGATGAGGAGATGAGGGTGAGGAGATCAGGAGCTTTACTGTTTCTCCACACGGCCCTGACTCATCATCCTGAAGGCAGGAGAAGCAGCCAGTTTGGTTTAACTCAGTTTGGTTTCTGGAGCTTTTAGTTTGAAATTAAAGAACCTGTTGAGCTCAGAAAACAATCATTGAAACTTTTTCTGTGTTTCTCCTTCATCTGCTGCTTCCACAGAGTCAGAACCTGAAGTTTCTCTGGACTGTTTGGTGATTTAAGGTCCATCTAGAACAGGGGTGGGCAATCCTGGTCCTCGAGGGCCGGTGTCCTGCAACTCTTCAATGTCTCCTTGGCCCAACACACCTGGATCCAATAACTGAATCACCTCCTCAGTGCAGTCAAGTTCTCCAGAGTCCTGCTAATGACTTCATTATTTGACTCAGGTGTGTTGAAGTAGAGACACATCTAAAAGTTGCAGGAGACCGGCCCTCGAGGCCTGGAGTTGCCCACCCCTGATCTAGAATCAACCTCACAGCTGCTTACATCAGCATAAAACCCATCAGAGTAAAACAGAAAATGTTTTTGATCATGAAGTTTTATTTCCAACATGACATTTGAAATGTCTGCCTGTTTCCACTGATTGGTTCGGTTCCTCCGTTGTAAAAGGAACAGTTATAATTGTACAGCACAGGCCATCGACTGGTGGGCAGAAAACGTCGCTGCTGCAACAAAACCAGTCATACTGTGTTTTATATCTGTCATCATTATGATGCATCGTTTGGCCAAGAGGCGGTGGGATCACCCTCCTGAAAACGGCAAACTAAATTAGGAACCGCTCAGTGAAGGGCTGCACCTAAAGACTAATCAATTATTCTAACAATAAATTGTATAAAATTGGCACTTTAGCCATTTTATGCAGTATTAGAGAGGCAGGTAGCTCAGTTTGAAGCCTGTTGTAGACATTGAACTAAAGAAAAATCTCCTAAAATCTCCATTTCTTATTGCGTTCATAATCAAAAACATTTCCTTTTCGGTTTGAAAGAGTGGAGGGACTGGAAGCATGAAGAAATGTCTCCTCTGATAGCGTCTTCAGTCCATGAGCTTCAGAGAGGTTTAGTACCCTGTAGACGGGACAGAAACGGCTTCTCCAGCTCTCAGGTTTTCAGCTGATAAAAGCAAAGTGCTCCAGTCAGGGTCGGGTTTTGGCTGAAGTGGGAGATTTGAAGCTTCTTAGTTTCCTGTTGATGTGGAAGGAGAGATGGACTGTGGCTCAGAACCAAACGTCTGCTGGTTCGTCTGATCTGGACGCCTTCAGGTCGTCTCCGTTTGGATTTTCACCCAACTGGGAGGAAACGCAGAAAACCAAAGATGGATGGATGCTAAATAATCCCAGCTGGATGTTTGATTGTTGCTCATTCAGATTGTGAACTAGAAGCATTAAAGCTGCAGCTTGGATCTGTTAGTTCACCTCAGGTCGCCTCCTTCCACATGAGCGGAGGCTGGGAGTTTGAGTTGCGGCTGTGAAACCGGAGCAGTCAGATGGAGGCAGAGGCCCTCTCCTGTGTTTTCTGTTCTGGGTGGGTTTGTTTACGGCTCTGGGTGCTGGGATCCATCTGGGATCAGCCCAGAAAGCTGTTATCTCAACTGTGTGAGACTCTTACCATCTGATCCCGTGTTACCTCTGAGGAAAACACGGAGATTTTCCACTGCAGCTCAGAGCTGCAGCTTCAGAGGCTCAGTCTTTAAAGCAGAACATCATTATGTAACAAAATATGCAGGGAAATGTGTCTGTTCTGATAGTTTTACAGAAAAATGTTTGATCAGAAAAGCTGCTCAGGATCAGGAGAGAAAAGACATGAAAACAAGAAATATGAAGGTTTGTTTCATTAAACAGCAGAGAAAGTAATAAAACACATCAATAACAAGAAATGGTTCAAAATGGCAGCACAGAATCACAAAGACTTTAGAAAATGAAAAAGTAGAAATAAAAATGTGGAGCAGAACAAGAATAATCAATTATTCTAAAGACACAAACAGCTTCTGTCCTGAGTGTCTGAACGCTGCTGCAGATGGAAAATGTTTTAGGGACATAAACATTTTTACATTTAACAACAAAAACATTGTAAATAGTTTTTCTGTAAAAATCAGAATACTTTCTTTCTTTCTTGGCCGTATTTTTTGGTCTAGAAAAAGACAAGCTGGTGTTTTCCCAGCTTCGTTCATGTCCAGATTAAAAACAACGATCTGCTTCTCTCTTGTTCCAGATTCTTGGTAAATCCGTGTTGAAGCAGAACGAAGCGGACTGAGCCTCTCCTCCTCCGCCTGATTGGACCCGGCGGGTCGGTCAGGTTCCTGAATGGTGTCCAACTTGTCCTGCTCCATGTCCTCCATGAGGCGTTCAGGCGCTGCTGTCTGCACTGAAGACAGGATTTTAGAAACACTGAGATTAAAAAGTTTCAGCAGAATATTTTATTTCATTTAAAACATAGAAAATCATTATTCTGAAGACTTATTCAAACATTTTAAAAACTTTCTGTTTGAGACATTCTGCTGCAGAAAATGGGAAATCAGGAACATTTTCTGCAAAAAAGGACAAAACTGAAAGAAAATCAGCTCTGAACAGCTGCAGGTTTCAGTGGCTCATTTCTGCTGCTGCATTTAATAATCTCCTTCACAGATCAAAGACAAGGCCAGGACATTCAGATTAGAGTCAGAATGGAGAGTTTGGACAATAAAAGTCTGTTTTTGTTACAGAAAAGTAACAATTTTACACACAAAACGCTCCGTCCTCCTCCTGGGGAGAAATATGAGGACAGCTCCTGAACCATAAACAGATGCAGCATGGGTAATAAAGGAGTTATGATTCAACGACGCAGCGGGAATATAAACCAATAAAATAATCCAGTACGTCCATAAAGCTCCAAACTGGTGGCAGTTCTCACCCGGCCATGAACAGATTAAATGTTTCCTGTTTGTTTATTCAGCCAGTAAAAGCTGGGAACATTTCCAGATCATTCCCAGTCGTCTCCCTGGAGCCTAAAGTGGCTTCCAGACGCTGGACGTCCATCGTTGGAGACATTTTGGACAGGAAGACAGCGGTCATTTTAATCAGGCCTAACAGGAGCTCAGCATTAACTCTGGTTTCCTTTCAGTTATTCTTCAAAACGATTCTATCAGATCTGGGAGCAAATATGGACTCAGATTTTAACCTTCATGCACAGAACAGCTGTTTCTTACTTGTTGCAAAACTTTGGGCCATTTTATTATTGGATTTTTAATTTCATGTTGATTTAAGATGCACAGTCCTCATCTTTATTCAGTCCAGGAAAAACAAGTTGAATTTTTAATTTTTCTTATTTCATCCTGAAAGACAGGCTTGGTTGTCAGGCACCTTCTGTCCCATTCAGACATTAATATATGGAACATAACTTCACCTTTCAGTAGACACATTTAAATATTTAAAGATGTACGCAGGATAGTGAGCATGCAAAAACATTATAAAGCAGAAAACATCAAAGATCCAAAATATAAGTAACTGAATAAATATATCTCTCATTTTCCAACATAATTATAATTTTAGTTTCCTAAAATTGCTCCTGGATTATAAGTCAATTACATTTTCACGTTTTAAAATAAAGCAGCCTAATAATTGCAACCATTTTGCATAATGTTAAAATGTATTTCTCTTGCTTTAATATTGCACATTTTACAGCTGATTAATTTAAAAAACAGTTTTTCCTCTTGTTGGTTTATTTAACTGCTGCAGAGTCAACCGACCTTCATGAGGAAAGAGTATTGTTAAAGAGAAACTGATGAAAGTTTGGCAAAAAAGGTGGGATGAAGATAAAACAGGAAGATGGTTTTATAAAATTCAGAAGAATGTAGGAGAAAGAAGAAATGGAAGAAGAAATAGAAAGGAGGAAAGAGTGATAACAAGATTAAGATTTGGACATACAGGACTTAATTATACACTTTTTAAAATTCAAAAACATAAAACTGGCAAATGTGATTATTTTGATAAATATGAAACTATAGAACATGTTATATTAGAATGCCATAAATATGAAATAGAGAGAAGATACATGAAGAGAGCGTGTGAAAGGATTAAGGAGAAGATTAATTTATTAGATATATTGAGGAAGAATTTAGGGAGTAAACATATGCAAATAATTATTAGATTTCTTAAGAAAACGAAATTATTTCATAGAATTTAATTGTAGTGTGTTTGTGAATGAAGGCATGATATACAAAGTTGTGCACAAGTATGTATGTGTTAAGTGTGAATGTGTGAGTGTATGTTAGATATAATTTATGGTAGAATATATGTGAGGATAAATATTTAAACCATCACGAACCACACTCCATACCAGTAAGTGGCGGTAATGCTACTAAAAGTTTCTTGCCAACCGCCATAAAACCGACAAGAAGAAGAAGAAGAACCGACCTTCATGTTTGTGGATGGAGATAACGAGCTCTGCAGCTTCCTCCGACTCATCCTTCCTTCCTGAAGTGGGTTGAGCTCAGATTTCCTACAGTCCGCGAAGGCGCCACCGAGCTCATTCATTGTTGAACGAAGCGGACGGACTGGAGACGCCGAACCGCACCGAGGAGCTGCTACAAGGACCAAAAAGGACCCAGTTCCCCCGTTGTAAGTCGACCCAAGTCGTTTAAATGTTGGTTCGGTTGGGTTTTTGAGCCGTCTGGAGCCGCTGCTGCCCGGCTGCGGTCCTCTCCGCACGGTGCGGCGGCGTTCAGCGGCGCAGTTTCCGGGTTTTGCCGCCTTTGTGCACACGGCACCGGACTGGTGCGGAGCGCACAAAACCAACGTGTTTCTGTTTACCTCCGCTGTGTGAGTGGGTCCGGAGTGGGACACCGACACGCGTGGCCGCTCGGGCCGCTGAACACGGAGTTTAATACGGTTTAATGGTTAAATTTGACCGGCAGGCTGCGGTCCAGACTGGGCGGCAACACGAGGCCTGATTCCGGGCCGCAGCCACCCGGAACATCCCGTCTGTCAGCATCCAGAGCGGGAATGCCCAGTCCGGTCTGATGGCACGGGGGGCAACCCGGTAAAAACACGGTTTATTTCAACAAGTGGCCACCTTATTTAACTTTAATTACCTCTAATATCAGCAACAGTAACATTAATTTCGTTCTACAGTAATAATCCGGTAAGACTCGGGTTTTTCATTTTACTTTTTGCCAAACTCCGTTCAGAAAAACAAACATTTTAATATTTCTTTGCCACACAGATGAGGAGCGGTGTATTTTTTTTACCCCAGTATTTACTAAAAGCTCCTTTTCAATTCGGCTCATCTTCTAGCAAACCCTGAACCTTATTTTGACTGATCCTCATCTTTTCCTTTTGTCTATTTATAAACTCCAGTGACCGAGCTTAACAGGATTTCTAGGAGAAATGTAGCTTTTAGACTAATCTGATCCTTAAGTACCGCGACATGCGGCTCCCTTTGTGTAATACTGACAGCCTGTTGGAGTTTATTACAACTGCCACTTATCATCACCATCAACTTCATTAAAGACACAAATTTATATGAGAGAAATAATAATTTAAAAATTAAAATCCATTAGCTGGACCTTTTGTTGGCTGATTAAATGTTAAAAATGTGGACTCTAAGAACCGCAGCGTTCCCCTTTGGCCTCAGTCTGTTTCACTTCCTTCCTCTGAAACTATTTTTAAAGGTTAGAGGTGATTAATTTGGGGATTTTTGCTCTGAAGTGTGAAAACAAACAACTTTAAGAAGCTGATTCATCCTCTGGTAACGTTTAGGAAATGTTTGAACCCGGCAGCATCACTCAGTAAATGTCAGATTTTTTTTTTTAATGATGCATTTTTTTTGTGAAATCATTTGAGTCGTCCTTTATTTCTTCCACTTCAGCTTTTTCACTCAGACTGATCTGTTTATTTGCTATCCGAGGCTCTTCAGGCCTCTGCTTGGTTTTATGCCCATTCTGCTCAGAAACCCTGAATTTTCCAGTTTTTCTGTTCTCCGGTGATCCAGACGTGACGTTTTGTCCCAGCAGAGATGCTGACTGACCAGATGACTGCAGCCATCTTGGCTGCGACGCTCTGCTTCGCTGCCAGCTGCGTTTGGGTGGCGGCGGACTGCTCGCCGTCCCCCACCGAGGCCTCCGGCGGCGCCAGGCTCCTGACCGCTGTGGTGGACGCTCAGAGGGCTGAGCGGGCCCGAAGGCAACACCTGGAGGCGCTGTTCCACAGGTGAGCTGCTGCTTTGAGTGAGGAAGAAAGAAGCAGGGAGAGGAAAGTGTTGATGGTACAGCGGGTTGGAGCGTTTATAAAAACTCACATTTATGGTTCAGAACATGCAGCCACAACTAAACTGCTGAAGATTTTCCTGACACACTTTTTCCTTCCACTCAACTTTCTTTCACTATTAGGGTTTCAATTGATGATTATTTTAGTAATCAATGATTTTGACGATTAATCAGATATATAACATGTATTTTTAGTTTTTGATCTTTAGTGATATTAAAATTTTGTTTAGCAGGTAAAACATAAAAAATACTAATTTTGCTTTATTAATTCATTATATCTTGTGAATAAAATGAGTTATGAAGAATCTGGAAACAAAATTGTCCTTCAGAAAAAGTTTTATTTGAGACCAAAACACCAGAGTGAAACTTTATCATCCAGTTTGTGGTAGAAAAACGATAAATCCTGCCAATGGAAAGTATTGATGTTGTTTTATTTCATCATGTGATTAACTGATTTATTGGTTATTGTGACTATTTGACGTGTTTAAAGTTGTGCCTAAGAAACTGATCAGAAGTTATCATAAATATTGTTAATATATTGAGAGAAATTTTCCTGACTTTGATCCTCCATGCAGATACGGAGAGAACGGCTCCATCTCTCTGGACGGCCTGAAGCGTCTGCTGCAGAGCGTCGGGCTCGACCGGATCCGGAACGTCATGGTGAAGCACCGGGAGCAAGCCGGCCACCACCATGACCATCATCACCACCACCATCATCATCATCACAGACACCCGGCCGCCGACCAGAACAGAACCGAGGACCCGCAGCAAACCCAGCCCACTGTGTCTGCGGCGCCGGGTCGGGACGGCGCCGGGTCGTTGGTGAAAACCCAGAAGAGAAGCTTGGCTGGAGAAGGAGCGACCACGGTCGCCACAGCGACAGCGGTTAAAACCGAGCCAGCGGACCATCGTGATGAACTGGACCAGGATCATCTGGAGCAGGAAGAGGTCCGACTGACACAGGAAGAGGCTCTCTTTAGTATAGATCTATAAGAACCATGGTGGACGCTGCAGCAGCTCCTCCTTCTGGACGCTGCAGCAGCTCCTCCTTCTGGACGCTGCAGCAGCTCCTCCTTCTGGACGCTGCAGCAGCTCCTCCTTCGGCTCGGCAGGTTTTCTGGGGGAAACTGGAATAAATAAAAACAAATGAGCTGAAAAACAGAAATATTTATGATTTTAATTCAGCCATCAGATTGGAGCAAAGTTCATTTTCAGGAACTCCTGATCGTTCATGGAGCTTCTTTAGAAATGTTCACGCTGACATTAGCGTTAGCCGCTACATGTTTATCATTGAGATGCTATTTTATGCTAGCATAGCGTCACTGTTATGCTAACTCCTTTTAGCACAACTTAAACACAACAGCAGTCTTTTACCCCCTCTCCCTCTGGCTTCTGATGGTCTAAATTAAGACTGACTGAGTTTTGGTATTTCCTGCAGTGCCTGAACGCCTCGGGCCTCCTCCTCTCACACGGGATGTCTCAGGAAGGAGGCGTGGCCCTGGGAGACTTCTCCTTCCTGTGCCCCGCCCTCCTGCACCAGATCGACAGCGGGGCGTGTCTCCTGCACGGCGACGCCTCCGGACACGAAGGCACAGGTAGGAAAGTCAGGCTGCAGCTTTTCCTGCACCGTTATGAGAGAAAACATCTGGAAATGTTGGTTCATCTGGATTAACAGGTTCTAATCTGAAACTTCGTCATGTTGGCGAATAATCGCATCATCAGCAGTTTCTGCTTCTGTTCATGAAAAATAATAATTTGACCAAATAACTTTGATTTGTTGCTTCTGTTTTTTTCTTGTTAATGGAGAGAAATCTGATTCAATGTTATTGCAACCAAATAATTCTTCAAAAACTAAAGTTTGAAATAAATTAATGCCAAAAATAAAAATGTTAAAACTTCTGAATTAAAAAAATACGTTTTAAATAATTTTTACCTGCTCCAGACTGACCAATAGAAAAGCCGTTGCTAACGGCGACGTGGATGATGCAGCTTCTCGTCCGTCAAAGGAAGTGGACAGTAATCTGTGAAATAAGATTAGAAAATAATTTATAAAACTCAAATTTAAAAAATAAAATCTGAAAAATTAAAATGTTTGTTAGAATTTAAAGTTTATTGATGTTTCAGAATCTGTTCTTGCATTAATATTATATTATTATTTCAAAATGCTCTCAACACATTGACATTATTAGATATAATCAGCCTGCAGCTGTTCTTGTGTTTTATTTATCTCTCTGTATTTTTTAGGACATAAACACCATAGACATTCACACGGTCACCATGGAAACCACGACCACGCCACCCGGAACCACAGCGAGCCCGGCAGCGGGGAAAACGGCAAACACATCGCAACAGGTGAGCTGATTTCAGGCTGGGAGGTCAAAGGTCAATGGATGGGTTTAACGCGTTTCCTTTAACTTCCTGTTTCCTCTTCAGTGTCTCTGGTTCCTGCTAACCGTCGTTTTCTCCACTCTGTCAAACAGATTCACAGAAAACGAGGAGAAAACGTCATAAAATTAATCAAAAATCACAAATTCTTCAGGTTTTAAACTATGATAGTTCATTTTAAATGTATCATTTAACAAAACATTAAAGTCTTTGTTGTTTTTTACCTTTAAATAAATGCTAATGCTAACCTGCTCTTCCAGCCTCGGCCTAACGAAGCTAACAATCAGTCCGACCAGAGAAACGCTGAGCTGAAGTTCTGCCTCTAACGGCTCGTCGTCCCGGTTCTGGTTCCTGACGCTCTGCTCTGTTGCAGCCTGGGTCGGCGGCTTCGTCTCCATCACCGTCATCAGCGCGCTGTCCCTGCTGGGCGTCCTCCTCATCCCGCTCATGAACAGAGTCTTCTTCAAGTTCCTGCTCAGCTTCCTGGTGGCGCTGGCCGTGGGAACGCTGAGCGGCGACGCCTTCCTGCACCTCCTTCCCCACGTGAGTCGGAGCCACAGGAGACACTTTGTTTACATCAACATAAACTCAACCAAGTCGTTTCACCACAGAGATAAAAGAAATCTGTGGTGAAACCAAGAACTGTTCACTCATTTTAACTTGACTGTGTCTTAGGCCACATTTTCCTTTTTGGTGTTTCTACCTGTAAATCTCACACACAGAACAATTTCTCAAAAGCAAAAACTCAAATTCAAATTTAGCCCTCCAGACATTTTGACTAAAATTTAGAATCTAAAAAGCAAGAAATATTTGGGTTTTGTTGTGGATGATTAAGAAAGAAATAACAAAAAACAATCACTTTTCCATTCTTTTAACTGTAAATCAGGCCTACATTTTTAACAATCTGACCCCATCAGTTGGAGTTTTTCCTTCCACTAAATCTTCTCTCTGTGCTGATCTGAGTGGAGATGCTGCAGCATCGTTGAGGCGTTTTGTTTCCGTCTCTTCAGTCTCACGGGAACCACGACCACTACAATCACCTGGACGACCACGACGACCTTCACCCTGACGGCGAGGAGAACATGGACGGCGTGTGGAAAGGCCTGACGGCTCTGGGCGGAGTCTACTTCATGTTCCTGATCGAACACTTCCTGACGCTGGGAAAAATGTACAAAGACAAGAAACAGAAGGTTGGAGACGAAGCTTTGATGTTTTCTGTTAAAGTTGATTCAGATTTTATTTAAAAACTCGTCACAGAAAGAAGCAGCAGAAAAATCTGCACAACCTGATTACATCCGTCTCTATGGCAACAATATCTGCTAATTAATGCAGCAGGAAAGAGTTTAGAGGTTTAGTTCAACCAGCAGATGGCGCCACCTGCAGCTTTTTCAACAAAACTGAATTTCATTTACAGTCTGTCCTTATGAAGTAAATATTAAAACTAAACAAGTCATAATGCAGGAAAACATCAAGATTTTATTCTCGTAATATTATGATTTTATTTTTGGATTATTATTGCGACTTTATTCTCATGACTTTGTTGTTGTAATTTAACAGTTTTTCATATCCTGTCACATAAACTCACTGATCAGCAGCCTGTTGATGTGGAGCCTCAGTGTTTCTGGAACATGGAGGTTCTGGTTCTGCTGGTTCTGATGTTCATGTTGGTTTTCCTGTCAGGTCCAGAAGAAGTGGGACCAGACGGACAAATCGGACCCGGAGAAGCAGCCGGCTCTGGAGGAGAGCGAGCTGAAGCCAAGCGAAGGTGAGAGTCGGTTCTGGTCCAGTTCTGCTCTGATCCGGTTCTGACCGGGTCTGATCTGACCCAACTCGCTCCTCTCAGACGTTTCCTCTCCATCTGCTCTTCCTCCACCAGACGTGGAGCCGAACGGCGCCGGTGCGTTCGGCGAGCTCCCCGGCGGCGTGGCGGAGGAGGAGCAGGTGATGCTGACGCCGCAGGTTTCCGTGGTAACGCAGCAGACGTACGGCCGGCCAGCAGGGGGCGGCGCCGCCGGATACTCGGCCGAGGACTGCGAGAACAAATGCCACTCCCACTTCCACGACACGGTGGGCCAGGCGGACAGCCTGCACCACCATCACCATGACTACCACCACATCCTGCACCACCACCACTCCCAGAACCACCACCCCCACAGCCACGCCCACTCCTACTCCGAGGAGCACTTCCAGCAGGCCGGCGTCGCCACGCTGGCCTGGATGGTCATCATGGGCGACGGCCTGCACAACTTCAGCGACGGCCTCGCCATCGGTGAGCCGCCGTCGCCACGGAAACGGCCCGGGATGCCGCCGGTGGGCGTGGCCTAACGGAGTGTCTGTGTGTCTGCAGGAGCCGCCTTCAGCGAGAGTCTGTCCAGCGGACTGAGCACATCGGTGGCCGTTTTCTGCCATGAGCTGCCGCACGAGCTGGGTGAGGCACGGCGAGGAGTTTGATTTATTGTTCCATAGAAATACCAACATAGAAACACCAACATAGAAACACCAACACAGAAACACCAACACAGAAACACCGACATAGAAACACCGACATAGAAACACCGACACAGAAACACCAACATAGAAACACCAACACAGAAACACCGACATAGAAACACCAACACAGAAACACCAACACAGAAACACCAACACAGAAACACCGACACAGAAACACCGACATAGAAACACCGACACAGAAACACCGACACAGAAACACCGACATAGAAACGCCAACATAGAAACGCCAACATAGAAACGCCAACATAGAAACGCCACCAGTCTCTGTCAGCAGGTTGGTGAAAGAATCAGACGTCTTTATGAGACTGGAGTCATAAAGAAGCGTTTTTAAAATGGAAATGTTTAAAACGAGCAGCGTTTGTGGTTTTATTGTTTTACCTCTCGCTCCTCCAGGTGACTTTGCGGTGCTGCTGAAGGCGGGCATGACGGTTCGCCAGGCCATCCTCTACAACATTCTGTCGGCCATGATGGCGTACTTCGGCTTGGTGACGGGCATTCTGATCGGCCACTACGCTGAAAACATTTCCACCTGGATCTTCGCCCTGACGGCCGGCCTCTTCATGTACGTGGCGCTGGTGGACATGGTGAGTTGGACCGAAGCGTCTCTGGGGGACCGAACCGTCTCTGGGGGACAGAACCGTCTCTGGGGGACCGAACCGTCTCTGGGGGACAGAACCGTCTCATGTCTTCATCAGCAGAGCTTCATGCTCTAACTGCACAGTTTGGTCATAAAGTTAAATCTAACGTTTGATTAAAAGCCTAAATTTGTAAAAGATATTTTCATGCAGTTAATAAGAGTCACATTTGTCAGCCTGTTTTCTTCCCTCCACCTGATTTGTTGCTGCTTCTCTGCTTCAGGTGCCGGAGATGCTGCACAACGACGCCGGCGACCACGGCTTCAGCCACTGGGGCTTCTTCCTGCTGCAGAACGCCGGCATCCTGCTGGGCTTCTGCATCATGCTGCTCATCGCGCTGTTCGAGCACAAGATCCAGCTGGACCTGGGATACTGACCCGCACCGCACTGCATCCTGGGAGGGAGCCTGGAGGGAACCTGGAGAGAGCCTGGAGGAATCCAGGCCTGGAGCTGCTCAGCAGGGTTCACAGGTGGAAACTGTCTGGAGTTTCTTCTGGGTTTCTTTCACACTTTAATTTTCTCTCTGAACTTCATCTGTTGGGTCAATTAGTTTAGTTTTTTATATCATTTTTGTGTTTTTCTCAGTGAAACCTGATCAGTGTTACAAAGCTGCAACTTTCCAAACCACAGTTCCCCTTAAATCTGTGATTCTGTATAAAACCTGACAGGAAGCAGCAGAAGGTTCATGTTGAGTCTCGTGTTACTTTTTGGTTTCTTTTTTTTAAACTAATGTTTGTTCTGTTCATCGATTCTTCTGGAGTTTGTTGTTCGTGTTGAATCTTTGTTTCCCGTCATTCTGTCTGGAATAAAAATTAAATTTACCCAAACAGGACTGCGTTAGAAACTTCTGCTCTGAAGTGTTAAACATAAATAAAAACATAGAAGAAAAACATATTTTTTATTTATTTTATTTGCTATAAAATGCACAAACCTACATTATATTCATCTGTTTGTGTGGAGAAAAGTTGTGAAATGTTCTTCATCAGACTTCAGGCCGGATGAGAATCTGTTTGTTTCTATGGTTACAGACTGAAGATGGCAGCTGATAGAAAACAGGTTTTTCTCTGTGTTTTAATTTTCTTCTGTTCAGGATGAAGAGCAGCAGAGAAACTGATTCCTCTGAAGGTCAAAGTTTCCTCTGTGGATCCAACATGTAAATATTAAACTGTAAATTTTGGCTGTTTATGTATCTGATGTTTGTAAACAGTCTGCATTATGTTTCACTGACACAAACCCAAACAAGAGAAAAATAAAATCCATTAAAGATGAAATCTGATGTTTGGTTTTTATTAATTCAGCTGGATTATAGATGCAGTTTCATGTTTTCATTTAAATTTCTTCTGTTCATTCGATTTGTCAGGTATGTTTATTGTATATTTTTATCCATCGTAGCAACGTTTTGTAGCTTATAGACCATAAAGTATATATATATATATATATATATATATATATATATACTTATTTATATAACAATTTAGTATAAATGCTTTTTTTGTTTACAGGTTAACAGTTTTACTTAATTCCACTTTCTACACTCAGATTTTAAACATTGAACCTTAAAGACAAAGTTAATTATGTATTGAAACATTTATTTATTTAGCACAAATCTTAAACAGTGATTTTTCACAATCATTTTACTGGTTTTACAAATATTTGCAGGTCTTTATTCCCTTTTAAATCAAATTACAGCAAAAATATGACACTCAAATTAAGCCAACAATTAAGAGCTGATTTTATGTTTTATAATAAAGGAATAACTGAACCTAAAATCATCTTACGAAATAAGATAAAAAAGCATCAACCCACACATAACCAGCCCTACTCACATAAAGTTAACAGTCAAGTTAGAAGGTTAAAGCTTAAATGTTCCTATTATTGTGATTATTTAAAATATTAGTTTGAAGTATCAGAGCTGGATCTATAGTATTGGTATTTTTATATTTCATGCATTGCTGATCATAAAAACAAACCTTTAAAACTGTTAAAACATCCAGAGAGCTGCTGACGTTCTGAATATTTAAAGAAATCTCACTTCGTTTGCTTTTCATTTCTCTGCCAACTGAAAGTTGCTCTTCTGTTGTGAGTTTTGGTGACGTTCACTTCAGTCTCAAAGTTTTCATTTGAACTTATAAAGGCTTCATGCTCTTTTCCTTTGGTTTCTTCATTTCTTTGGTCCAGCTTTGACTTGTCAGTAAAAACATTCGATGGCTTTAAGAAGTTGTTTTATTTCTTTTAAAACTTCCTCGGTCAGCAGCTGATACTTTGTACAATGTTTTTCAGAAAGACTGAAGTTCATTAGTTAAAACTTTATGTTGTTTTCTCATTCTGGTGTTTTACAACATTAAGGTCAGGAGAAAAAAGATCAGTTTAACTTTTTAAACTCCCTGAGATTCAGATCAGACAGAGACCAGGAATCACTTTGACCTGGTCTGACTTCCTTCAGTAATATCACCTGATTATTTTATCATAAAGGGATTGAAGCTGTATGATTATGTTGCTCAGATATTTACATTTTATCTGTCCTGATGTGTCAAAAAAGGAAATTAGACTCAGACCAACTGAACCAAATGTATTTAATCTTAGTAAAATAATATAATTTGTTTATTAAGGATTTATATTTCCTGTTTTAAACAAAATTAATTACTTTGAACAAAAACTAAGAGAGCAGTAAAAGTACTGCAAAATTAACATTTAAATGGTTCTGAGGAAATCTGGGGATTTAAGATTTCACATCAAGCGACTGTATCAGAGGAGAGGTTTTCCTCCTTTCTCCACTTTAGCCATGAACTCTGCTTTTTGTTTCATGTTCATCAGTGACTGAATTCGTCTTTTCCAGCCTGGTTTTCCCTCCTGTTTCTCTCCTTCAATCAGCTCATCAATGTACTCTGGAGTGGTGAGAGGATTGGGCCTCAGTGCTATCTCCTTCAGTCGGTTCAGACACTTTGCTGACTTGTCTATTAATTTATTCACCTCTTTCTGCATGATGCCATATTCAGCCTCCAGTTCTCTCATCAGGCCTTCAACAGTCATCTTCTGCCCTGAGGCCTTTTCATAGTTTTCTTTCAGGTCTGCGACTGTCCGTTTCTCTATAACATCTTTATATTCCCACCTGTACTTTTGGTTGTAATGAACGTTCCAGTAACATTTCCCTGGACACATCGTGCAGTATCCATTGCTGTCCATCGCCGAACATTCTCTTTTCTCATCATCATTTGGTATTCCACAAGGGTAATGACAGGTGACTTGACACTGCTGACAGTTGGTAATGAAGTGGCCAGTACCAGAGATATCAAATTGTATCGGTCTCTTCACAGGGACATCAAACTCAAAGTTCTCATTTCTACTGATCTCGGCTTCATGCTCTTTGATTTTTTCTCTCGTCTCTCTGATCTCCTCCATTTTGGCCAAACCAAGTTTAACCTGAAGCTGCAGATTCTCAACTGAAACCTCCAGCTGTTTTCTTTCTCTCAGGACCTCGTTTGTCAGTGTCAAACTTTTGGTTTCTATCTGATTTAGAGCAGCAAAAAACCTTTTCATGCTTTTTGTTCCCATGTTCCAAAACATTTTACCAAAGCTTTCATCATCATCATCATCCTCATCCCCACTCAGTCTCTCTGGATTATTGTCAGCAAACAGAGCAGAGTTGTTAAATTTGAAGTGAACTGGAAGACCATCTTTCCCTTTCGGACTTGGTACGCCTGAAGCTTTGATGGCTTCTAGAACTGGAGGCTTCTGACCGTCTGCAAAGGTCACCAGGATCCTGATGTTTTCTGCTATATCTTTGCCAAAGATGGAGAGAATGGAATCAAAGACATATTTCTGTGATGGTGTGAGACGAGCTAAAGCTGCCTGAGCTACGAAACACACAGCATCAATCTCACTGACCCCGTCTTTACTAGTGAAGAGGTTACAGAGCTGCTCTGTGATCTCCCTGTCTCTGTCTATTCCTCTGGTGTCTCCAAAGCCTGGAGTGTCTATGATGGTCGGAGAGAAGGGAACCTCAAATCCGTCCCTGTGGTTGAGTTTGTACACAGTGACCTCAGAGGTCTGACTGTGAGCTTGGGATTTTGTTGGACCATCATCCACTAAGCTGAACCGATACGAGTCTGACCATTTAACACCTAGAATGTAATTTATCATCCCATTGATGAGGGTTGACTTCCCAGCACCTGTAGCTCCAAGAACCATGATGGTACGACTTTGTTTGGCAGCAACTTTGCTTTGTTCTCCAAACCTGAAGAACCTGCATCCCTGTATTCTGATGTTCTCCTTCAGAGGAACTCTATAAACAGGCAGCGGTCCGAACTGTGGCTTCAGCTTTGTGCTCTCAGCTTTAACAGCATCAGGAAGCTTTGACTTTGTACGAACCTGAACAATCTTGCTTTCTTTGCTCCTGCCGGCTCCTCCACAGTCACATGTGACCCTGACTGCATATTGTGTTCCTGACTGAAGTCCTGAAATGATGGCCTTTTCACCTGTTGACCTTGTTTGGTTCCAGATGAGATCTTCTACTTTTGAACTATCGGCTCTGCTTGCATATTCCACAATGTATCTCCTGGTCTGAACATCTGGTCCGAGCTCAGCAGGTTTCTCCCAACTCACTGATATCTCAGAAGAGTTTGGTTCACCTCGAGGTTCTCCAGGAGGACTGCAGGGTAAAGTTTTCATGGGATCATTGATTACATTGGCCGGTCCAACACCTGCTGAGGTCACAGCTCTGCATCTGAACATGTACTCTGTGTTTGGCTGCAGGTGGGTCACTGTGATTTCTCCAGATTTTGGTTCACTCTGTTGTCTCCATCCATCTTGTCCTCTGACACAGAACTCCACAGAGTAGGAGGTGACTCTCTCTGCTCCAAGCCTGGGAGGAGAAACCTTCAGAGTCACACTGCTGTGGGTTACATCAGCAGCCGTCACAGTTTCAGGCTTTGAAGGAGGCTCAAAGTTCCTACTGACAGGGAAGCCATCTTCATAAAGGTAGATGGTTGAACCTTCATGTTTCTCATCTGTTAGACCGACTGCCAGGAACTTCATCTCCTTGTTCTCCTTGTTGGCTTCTGCAAAATCATGGAAGAGTTT